GCACTCTTACATTGTCTCCACCATTTACTTTCCTTCCAACCTTTTGAGGGTGGACTCATGACATAAATCTTAAGCGTGCAGGTTGATGACTTTTTACCTAAGTACACACCCAATTAACCACCACCCAGATGAAAACAGAGAACACTTCCTGTGTCTCAGAGACTCTTGCTCCTCCCCAGTCAACACGGCCTCCCCAGCCACTGATCTAACTGAAGCCTGAGAGCTCTACCAGGGCCCAGGCAGGGCTCTACGGCTCCACAGATAGGCCCAGAGCTGCTCTTCACCCATAACCTGCACCAGCCCTGTGGACTCCCTGCTGCAGTCCGCCCTGGAGCATTAGAGCCTCTGCTTCCCCCAGGGATGCGTGCGAGGTGATTTCAGGCCACTTGGAGGGAGAGCATGAAACGGCAGCAGGAGATCACGGATCTTTCTGGCAGTGGAAGGAGAAAAACCCAGGAGCCAGAATAGGAGGAGGTCACAAGGAAGACCCTGGGAGGAATTCTTTTTCAGTTTTAAAACAATAGGTTTTTGTTGTTGTTGCTAAATGTTTCTTTGTGAGGAGAAAGCCTGCTAGCAATCTCCAATGTAGGGGGATACATGGGGAAGAAGAAATCTTGAGGTGGAAACATAAGCAGATCCTTGCCTGGGAACAGCCACCATGTGAGTTTAGCTCAAGAGCTCCAGGAAGCACCTGGCAGGCCTGGGACTGACAGGCAGCAAAGCATAGTGGTTCAGAGAGTGGATTCCAGGCCTCTACCACTCACTCGGGTGACCTTGGCCTAGTTACTTTAAAAAAAAAAAAAAAAAAAAGGCCGGGCGTGGTGGCTCAGGCCTGTAATCCCAGCACTTTGGGAGGCCGAGGTCTCCCCAAAGTGCTGGGAACCCAAAGGGATCATGAGGTCAGGAGATCAAGACCATTCTGGCTAACCCGGTGAAACCCCGTCTCTACTAAAAAATACAAAAAAATAGCCGGGTGAGGTGGCGGGCGCCTGTAGTCCCCAGCTCCTCGGGAGGCTGAGGCAGGAGAATATGGCGTAAACCCGGGAGGCGGAGCTTGCAGTGAGCCGAGATCACACCACTGCACTCCAGCCTGGGCGACAGAGCGAGACTCCATCTCAAAAAAAGAAAAATAATAATAATAATAATAAAGCGCTAAGATTTAGCTGCTATTAGATTGAGCCTCACAAAACTGCCAATATTCAATCATTCTGATCTACAAAAACAATTGCATATGATTCAACCTAACATTATTACTACGATTCTATTACACTAGCCCAGGCTGAGGGCAGGAATTGTCGAGAGTCCCCTCCTACCACGAGAGGCTTTGACCCAGCTCTGCTGACAGCTCTCATTTCAAGCCACCCATGGGCCCCGGAGGATCCAGCCATTCTGCTCCCAGAGTCCTGTGTGCAAATGTGCCTCAGGCTTCTTTGTCCAGCGGTCTCAGGAAGGAAACCTCTCAGTGTGATCTCCTTGTCAGTTTTTGGTCCCTCTGCCAGGCAGTGGCCCCAGACAACTGCTTGGCCAGGGAGAAGCACGCACCCTTGCTGCTGGGGGGTTCTGCCGCAGCTGGGACCCAGCCCTTTGCCCCTGTGTTTTCTGATGCCTCATCCCAGTTTCCTCATCCAGGTCAGCAGTTTCCCCCAGTATGAACCTTGTGTGGTTTACTCATTATGTTAAAAACCACTTAATTAGAAAAGTGGGTTTTTAAAGCTTGCCTCATTGCTTCCAGGACTCATGAATACACTAAAGGTAGTATTAATATCAATGATAATAAGCGCACTGTTTTGAGGACTATGTATCAAGTACACTATTCTAACTGCCTCACATGTATTTGTTACTTTAATCTCATCATAGCCCAAGGAGGTAGGTCCTATTGCCCCATTTATAGATAAGAAAATGGAGGCACAGAGAAACAAGTTACTTACTTACAGCTGCATGTTTAGGAAAGTGGGAGAGCTGGGATCTGACCCCAGGCAGTCTGGCTCCAAAGACCATGGTTTAACCACTGTACTATTGTGTACAGTCCCCAACCTTGACAGGAAGCTATCTGCTTCCTCTCTGGACCCCTTACTGGCTTCCCTTATATCTGGCTCTTTTTCCCTGTTCTTTAAGTGTAACCAGTTTGCTGTTCTGCTAAAACTGCTGCAACTACCACTTTTATTTCTGTAACCACTTCACCTGGTTTTTCTTTGAGTCACTTAAGGTGGCTTTTAGCCCTAAAACTTCTCTTCCAGGCTGGGCATGTTTGGTTTTTTACAATACCTGTATTCATCTACAGAGCTTCCTTCACAGTGATTTCACCACAAGCAGCCCTTCAGCAGTTAGGATACACGTGCCTAATTTCTCTGCGAAAGTCACACCCAACAGTTCAACCTTACACAATGCTCTGTGCCCTTGTCCTCACACCTCTGCCATGATTCTGTCTCCTAAAGGGCACTGCCTGTCTAGCCTAACACCCAGGCACATTTTCTTCTTTTATCATTCATAGAATTTTAGAACTATGGAGGTGGGAGGAACTTTTCACCTTATCCAGTTTAATCGCCCATTCTATTTTGTCTGAAAGAAAGACTTGAGACTCCTCCACGAACAGGATTAATCGAGGTGTTAATAGCGCAGCAGACAATAGTCCCAATGCTGTTCTGCTGGGTATTGCCAAAAGACCGCAGACCTACCAGATAATTGAAAATGCTACCCAGTAAAGAACATCTCCAGGATTAACATAGCTGTAAAGTCACAGAGTATTGTCCTCTGTTCTGCCGATATTGTGAACTGTTAAAAGCCGTTCCAGGAATCATCTGCACCTCCCTGAGCTGATCTGGGAAGCACTTTTATCACATATGGCAAAGCTCTGAGCCTCGCTCATGATAACTAAATTAAACTTCATGCTCTTATTATCCGGCTCCACCTCAACCACATTATCAAAATGGATAGCTCATCCCGGCATACAGCCATTCCAGCCCCTTGTCCTCATTTATCCTAGAATGCCACACATGCTGCTCACTGGCAGAAGCCATGGTTCTTAATCAGTAGCCTGAAGCCTTGGCACCATGGCTAGCATCTACTCACAGAAATCAACGCATCCGCTCTCCTTTTTCTTCCACAGCCCTTACTTGGGCAAGCTGGGTCCTGTCTTTCCATCTATCTACTAAACAGTCTTCTGTTCTTTTGTCGCCTAACACCAATCACAGAGTGGTAACGCTCAGGGATCACATGAGACACTGCTGATCTTCAGAACATCTACGTTATAGTTAGAACTTATAAAAGCATTCAACTTTCTCTGGCTTTTCCCCTTGCTTTTAAAATAAGTATATACCTATTAAAAACAAACCAACCAAAAAAACTCTCAGTTCAGAAACGTGCAAAGCATAAAAGTAATACACTCCCCACCCCTAACCCCAATGATTCTCTTTGGAGAGCCTGACAATCTCTCTCCTAAATCCTTATTTCCCTGACCCTGGAACAGCTCCTAGCCCACCCACCACCTAACACAGGCCCTTCTTGAGTTTTCTACATAGGGACTCTGAAGCACCCCCACCCCAGGGATTCCTGGAGGCTGTACTCTCGCTGGTCATCCCCTCTCAGCCTCCTCTGCTCCCTGACCTCTTCATGTAGTCACATAAGAGTGTGTCAGGGCTGGGGCCCTGGTCCCCTTCTCTGTCCATCCTTCCTTCCTTAGGGATCTCATCCAGTGTGTTGGCTTTAAGTAGCGTCTAGGCAAAGGCTCCTAAATTTATAGGTCCAGTCCAGATCTCTCTTTCAAACTCCAAACTCAAGATATATTTGCCTAGTCTGCATCTCTATTTAGACGTCTAATGGTACTTCAAATCCAATATGCCCGAAGCTGGACTCTTGCTGTCCCCACTGTAGCCTTCTCCATAAACTATAAAGCCATCCAGACTCACCCCTTTCTGTTGTACTCTACACCCAATTCATCAGGAAATGTTGTTGGCTCTATTTACTAAATAGATCCAAAATCTGGCCACTTCTCACACCTCCACTGTCACCATCCAAGTCCCACCACCTTCATGTCTCATCTGGAGGACTACAGTAGCATCCTGGGTGGTCTCTATTTCCACTCTTGCCCACACCTACAGTCTACATAGAAGCCAGCGTGGCCCTATTGAAACATAAGTCAGATTGTGCCACTCTCTTCTGCTCATGGCTCTCTTAGAGCTCCTCTTCCACTCAGAGTAAAAGTCAAAGTTCTTACAGTGGCTACAAAGTCCTCTGTGATCTGGGTCCCTGTGACTCTTCTGACCTCACCTCTTCCTACTCTTCGCTTGGATCACTCTGCTCCAGGCCACACCAGTGACCGCCATGATTCCTTCCATGGCTCAGGCATGCTGCTGCCTGAGGCCCTTGCACTGGCTGTTTCCTCTGCCTAGACACTCTTCCTGCAGATGTCCAGGTGGCTTGCTCCTTCACCTTCCCCAGGTCTTTCCTCAGACGTCACCTTCTCAGTGAACCTATCGATACTTTATTCGAAATTGCAACCTGTCTCTTCTCTATCACCTAATAAAACCTTTACCCTGCTCTACTTTTTAAAAAAATATTATTTCTTAGCACCTTTACATTCTTTTTAATTTACCATTTACTATGATGTTTACTGTATGTCTCCCCACCACTATCAGAATATGTAAGCTTTATGAGAACAGAGACCTCTCTCTGTTTTACTTCCTAAATAGCCTTTGTCTTTGACAGTGCTGGCATGTGGCAAGCATTCAATAAATGCTTGTCAATGAATGATTGAAAGATCTCTCAGGCCTGCCCAGTCACTCTGCAGCCATTCTGGCACAAAGACCCTTCTCACACTGAAAACCCTGGGCTCCAGTGACTTCCTGCCAACTAAGAGGGATGACCCCTTCAGAGCACCCCTTCTCCCTTCCTACTCCCAGCCAGGTACCTGCTGTGGCACCTTCTGTCTGCGCCGCCCACTGAGGGGCTAACTCCCATTCTAATGTTCACTCCCTGCCCACGCTAAGCTCTTGGCCACTCACCTGAAAGTCCTCCTCATCCAAGATCTCTTTCCTCCACTTGATCAAGAAGGCTGCACACACATAGAGATGAAAGTGGGAGAACCCTTCTGGTTCAGACTGGGAAGCAAAAAAATAGAGTTAGGTCTCCCAGCCCTGACAAGGATTCAGCTCTGGTCCTCTCAGTTCCATTCCTACTGGGAGGAGGGAAACTCTTTCACGGTTGGGGAGATGGAGTTGTGAAGAGACTTAGCAAAGGCCCTGCCCTGAGGCTAAAGCAGACATGGAAGTAGAAACGGGGAGGAGGGGAAACTTCTAAGCAGCTACACTCCACAACTTGGCAGGGAGCTGGACACCTCAGGGACAGCCTGGCACAGAGAGGCCAGGGAATCCCTCCTACCTGATATGTGTCCCACAGGCGGATGGTGCAGCGAAGAGGAAGCTCCCGCATAAGCAGGTTGTTCATCCAGCGGAAGGCAAACTGCAGGTATTCTACCTCGTACCTCCTGAAGTGATTATGTACCTGCTCTGAAACACGAAGCATCATTGGGGATCATCATCCTAGGGGACTGGACCCTGAAAGGGCCACAGGAGCCAAAACAGCGGCCCCCACTTCTTACTGCCCCTCCCATGGGTAAGCAGACACAGAGGGGCAAACAGGCGTCTGACTGTCCTTTATGTTTGATTCCATCATCTCACGGCAACACTGCATGGTTAACTCAGGCCAGCAGACACAACTATTTTAACATCCCACAGCGATGTTCTAGGAGCCCCACTTCCTTCGCGGGGCCGCTCTGGCCACAAAGCAGAGGATGTGAAGTTCACTTGGCTGCTCCACCTTAGTACTCATCAGAGAAGGAGCCAGAATGGAAAAGAACCATGGAGGTCACCTTGGCCACCCTCCTACTGGCAAGGAACTCCTCTTCAGCATCCCCGCCAGATGGCTAGCCAGCAGGGATGTGAACACTGCCAGCGAAAGGGGCTCACAAACTCCACTCAAGGGCAGCCTCTTCCACTGACATATGAAGTGATTCACCAGAAAGCGCTTCGCCATATTCAACAAAACCAGCTGCCTCCTGACTCCCAGCCCTTGTTGTTCGTGTGGTGTTCTCAGGTAAGCCCAAATAAACCTGACTGCTGTTCTACATGACAGCTCTCCAAATAATGCTTAGTGGGATTGTTTTCTAAATTACTGTCCTCAGTCTCCTAACCTATAAAATGGGAATAATCACTCACACCTCAGAGGGTTTCAGGGAAGATAAACGAGAAAACACAAGTAAAGTGCTTACAGTGGCACCTGGCACATGGTAAATATTTCAAACAATTCTTGAAAGAAGAACTATTAACAATGGCCAGGTGCCATGGCTCACGCCTGTAATCCCAGCACTTTGGGAGGCCGAGGTGGGCGGATTGCTGAGCCCAGGAGCTCAAGACCAGGTTGGGCAACGTGGCAAAAGCCTGTCTCTAGTAAAAATACAAAAATTAGCCAGGCATCATGGTGCACACCTATAGTTCCAGCAACTCAGGAGGCTGAGGTGGGAAGATCCTTTGAGCCAGGAGGTCCAGGCTGTAACGAGCCAAGATTGCACCGCTGCACTCCAGCCTGGGCGACAGAGCAAGACTCCATCTCAAAAAACAACAGTTATTTCTGGGGAGAAGAATTTAAGGAGAGGAAGGATTCCTACCTTATCACCCTGGCTGGAGTACAGTGGTGCGACCTTGGCTCACTGTAGCCTCGACCTCCTGGGCTTGAGAGATCCTTCCATCTCAGCCTCCTGAGTAGCTGGGACTATAGTCGTGTGCCACCATGCCTAGCTACTTTTTAAATTTTTTGTAGAGATGTGGTCTCACCATGTTGCCCAGGCTGGTCTTGAACTCCTGGGCTCAAGTGATCCTCCTGCCTCGGCCTCCCAAAGTGCTGGGATTACAGGTGTGAGTCACTGTCCCCAGCCTGTTTAAATTTTTTTAAATGAGGAAGTATTACTTCTACAATGCAAAGAAACATCCAAGATATATATACACTTAAAAATCCACTATTCCAAAGTACTATGCCTTTATGTATCATGTATTTGTAAGGGCGGAAAAAATAAGGATAGGGCAGACAGTGGCAGAAACCACAGCATCTGCTTGTTGGAACCTGATTGATGACCAGCCTCTGGCAGCCAGCTTATCCCCCAGAAGAGGGCAGCATACACCCTGTGCTAGGATAGGCTCCGGTTGAGGGATGTCAGAGACCTGCCCGCGGGGCCCCACCGTGAGGGCTAACAGCTGGGCCAGAGTGATAAGACACAGCGGAAAAAAACATTCCACATGCGGCATATGGGAAGTAACTGTGAATAAACAAATGGGTTCAGAAGACTGAAATGCTGAGTCATAAAACAGAGTGAGTGGAACAACTCAAGGAAGGTTTTCATGAAAAGAGAACCTGGGAAAGAAGACAGAAATATATACAATGCTGGGGGTGGGGGTGGGCAGCAGGTTAGGGAAGAAAGGCTTTGCTTGGGTGAAGCAGAAAATCCAATGAGTAGGAAAGCCTGGGAATAACATTTGTTATTTATAAATGTTATAAACAAATAACATTTGTGTCAGTCAGGACAGGCAGAGTCCTGCGGGAGCTACTACAACTTAACTAGTGTTAGAGATCCCACCGACTTCTCTCCCGGGGCCTCAGTTTCTTCATCAGTCAACAGCAGAGCTTCCTGAGTTGTCCTTTCATTCTAACATTCTACAACTCTAGGCTAAAGCTGAGGAATTCCTGTAAGGCTGTTCCTCAAAGACATGTGCCTTAGGAAGAGCCACATCTCAATTTCCCCACTCCACACAAGTCCTGGGAAGCTGTGTAAAGTCCTGCTCGGGTATCAGCCAGGCCCGAAGACTCCATGTCAAGCCCAGGAGTTCTGAGTTACATCACAACATGAAGGACAAGGCCGGACGACAGGCTGGATGCTGAAGGCAATGGAGAGTCATGGGAAGCTTCAGAGCAGAAGAGGGATGTGGCCAGAACAGAGCTGCAGAAAGATGCAGTTGTGTGACAGATAGTTTGGAAGAGAAGAGTATGGAGGAGGCAAGTCCTCTGAGAAGGAAGCTGGACCAGAGCTGTGGCTGGGGAAATGGGGAAGGGGTGTACTGAGGAGAGCTGCTGAAGGAGAACCGATAGAGACTGGTGATAGGAAACCAAGGGGAAAGAAGAACTTGAGATAACAGCACAGTTCTCACTTTGCCTTCCTGCTGAGATATGGAAGGATACTGGTGCTGCCAGCAGCACTGAGTGCACTGGAAAGGGTCATGGCTAGGAAGACAGCTGAGGAGAGGACCCACAAGTACAACCGGCTCATATCAGAATCAACTGTGCTACTGCTAGAGAACTCTTCTCCCTCTGAACCTACCATCAATCCGGCTGACAAGCTCTTCCAGTGCCTTCACCTTCTTCTGGATCCCTGGTTGTGCAAAGGTGTAGTTATCCTGCAAATGACATAGAGCCCAGGATGAACATGGACTCTAACTTGTGCTATCACCTGACATTCACTGAAACACGTTTAAAAGTTCAGGCTGTTTTCCAAAGCTAGTACCAATGGCCAGTGACAGTGTTCTGGGAAACAAAGAAATCTACAGAACAACAGTGTAGGGGGAAAGCCCAATGGAGCCCTGCAGTGTGGAAGAAACCAACATGCTTGGGGTGCAGGGCAGAAAGGAGCAGTCTACTTCAATGACAAAGCCAAGGCAACATGGAGATTTCTGCAGACTCCAAGGGACATGACACCATCACTGTTTTGTTTTTGTTTTTGTTTTGAGATAGGGTCTCACTCTATCGCCCAGGCTGGAGTGCAGTGGTGTGATCATGGCTTACTACAGCTTTGACCTCCTAGGCTCAAGCGATCCTCCCACCTTAGCCCACTGAGGACCTGGTACTACAGGCACATGCCACCACGCCTGGCTAATTTTAAAATTTTTTGTAGAGATGGGGTCTCTCTATGTTGCTAGGCTGGTCTTGAACTCCTGAGCTCAAGCGATCCTCCAGTCTTGGCCTCCCAAAGTGGTGGGATTATAGGCGTGAGCCACCGTGCCCAACCCACCATTGCTGTTTGAAAGCTGTAAAGCTAATGAAGAAGGACAGAGAGAGACCAAAAGGAGGAGGAGCCATAGTGGGTGGTCCTGCCTGATACAGAAGAGCAAGAATGAAACCAAAGGCCTGCTGGGAGCCCCTGGACCTAGATGCTCCCACAAGGGCAGAAGCAGCTCACCTGGATTCCATCCAACAGCTTGCTCATGCACCAAAAGCTGTCAGCCTCAATGCTTCGCAGCATGTCTTGGGACAAGTTGGTCACATCAAAGTTCTCCACATCCTCTTCTGTAAAACAAAAGGTGAAGAAAGTCCAGAGGTCTTATCTAAAAATAGAGAGAGAAAGATAGATTCGAGTGTCTTCAATGGGGTCTTTAGCACCAAGTGAGGACCAGGCTAACCTGATGTTAAGAAACGAGGGCCTGCCCCTTGACTCTCTGTGTCAGGTGGACAAATGTGTCCCAGGGAAGTTCTTGAAGATCTCATTACAACACTGGACAGGCCATTTCTCACACTAGTCCCATCAGGTTCAACATATCTTTCTCTTCCTTGGTATTTGTTCACTCACTTTTCGAAAATGATACTTCAGGTCTCATGTTCAATGAATTATACTCAGCTCCCTGAAGATGGCCTGGAAAATGTCTTTGATTTCAGCTCAGTGAGCTGTCTAGCACACTCACACTCATATGTAGGGAGAACAGCTAGGATCAGAAAGCCCCCACAGTTTAAAGATGGAATTCCCAAGTTCTGGCAAGGCAGACCCACAGTCTTGCCACTCAGAGGAGAAGGTATGCATGTGAAGGAAGATGAGTCAAGCCTCTGAGTGCTTCTAGGACTTAATTCCAACAAGACGGTATTTCTCAAGATGGGTTCTGCAAAACATCAATCCTACAGGACACTCAAAAAAAGGGTGGGGGGTTGGGTTCCACAGACAAATATGGTTGGGAAATGATGCATTAGATATCCCCATCTTGGAGATTAGCGAAGATCACAGAACACAAAAGGGTTTGAGAAGTTAACAGAAATTCTGCATTAAGTAAATCTGCTTAACTTTGTTTATCCAGCATTTCCCAAGTTTATCTAGCCACGAGACCTCTTTGGAGAGGACTATCTGTTAGCTTCTCATGGAAACCTCCCACTGAGTAACAGGAATGAGAATCTGTCTCGTCTGAGATGCAAGTGAGGAAAACATAAGCAGCCTTCCAGAAACCCGAAGAAGGAAAAGGCTATGTGATGTGTCCTTCCTAGCCAGTGTTTAACTCCCCCTTCCTGTCACAGAGAGGTGAAGTAGTAAGAAGTGCTGTGTTTGCCCAACAAGAAAGGCCTCTGTGTTATGTCTGCCAGAGGCCGCACACAGAAACAGTCAAGCCCTTGAGTTCTCCACCAGACAGCTTTTCTCCTCAGACCTACAACCCCTTTTCTGGAAACAGATGTTCACTGCAATCCCTTGCGCTACAGAGACATAGGCATCAGACAAAATGTATTCAGAATCTAGCTTTTCTTTTTTCTTTCTTTTTTTTTGAGACAGGATCTCACTCTGATGCCCAGGCTGGAGTGCAGTGGCATGATCTCGGCTCACTGCAGCCTTGACTTCCCAGGCTCAGATGATCCTCCCACTTCAGCCTCCCAAGTAGCTGGGACTACAGGTGCACACAACCACGCCCAGCTAATTTTTTGTATTTTTTGTAGAGATGAGTTTTTGCCATGTTTCCCAGGCTGGTCTCAAACTCCTGGACTCAAGTGATCCTCACACCTGAGCCTCACACAGTGCTAGGATTACAGGAGTGAGCCACTGTGCCTGACCCCAGCCTTTTCATTTCTAAGAATTGTTACTAAGACCTATAACTGAACCTCCTCAAGATAACATGTAACAACTCTTGGATTCTCATCCTGTTTGAAGAGCCATTTTTAACATGAACATCTGAACATCGAGGCTGGGGAAAAAAAAAAAAAACCCCTCTTGAGAAGGGTGGGGTGCTTTATCAGAAAAGCCATGACTCTACGAATGATCTGAAAAAAAAAAAAAAAAAAAAAATCCAACTTGAAGGCCAGCTGCAGTTAATATACATAAAGTGCTAAATACAGTGCCTGGCACACAGTAGGCACAATATAGCTATCTTAAATGAAATTTATTAGGAACTTGTAATGACATAAAAAAGCATGTCACAGTATTAAGGAGAAAAGAGGGGAAAAAGTATTTATGGCATACTTTCGTACTGTGCATACAATATTTATGTGTTTATATAAGCACAGAGGAAAGACAAAACATCGCAAGGTTTACAGTATTTATTCCCCAGGTGGTACGAATGAAGGATTTTATTTCCTTAAAGCTTTATTGGACTTTTCAAAATTTCTATAATAAGCATAATTTTTATAGTCATTTTACATGCACAGTATCTTAGAAAAAAAAAGAGCCACAATTGACTACATCTGCCGTTTATCACCAAAAAAGAATAAAGAAGATTTTGTAAAACAACACTAAACTTGCAGAAACTAAAAATCTAGATAGCATATAAAGATCAATTTGAGAAATCACATTTTATTTTTATTTTTGAGACAGAGTTTTGCTCTTGTCACCCAGGCTGGAGTGCAATGGCATGATCTCAGCTCACTGCAGCCTCTACCTTCCAGGTTCAAGCAATTCTCCTGCCTCAGTCTCCCAAGTAGCTGGGATCACAGGCATGAGCCACTACGCCTGGCTAATTTTGTATTTTCAGTAGAGATGGGGTTTCACCATGTTGGCCAGGCTGGTCTCAAACTCCTGACCTCAGGTGATCTGCCTGCCTCTGCCTCCCAAAGTGGTAGGATTACAGGTGTGAGCCACCATGCCCAACTGAGAAATCATATTAAAAAAAACTCTTCCAGGAAATATCATTTTTCTTTTATTCCTATTATTCCTTTTATTATTTTTCTTGCATTCCTATTATTCCTTTTATTCTTTTATTGTATCCTAACTTAAACATTTACTATGTAGTGGTTTTTTTTTTAATGTATGTAAGTATATATACATATTTGTTTTCTTATATATGGAAGTATATATACACATTTGAAAATATATGTAAGTAAATTTTATATATAGATCTATGGATCTAGATATCTATATACAGATATAGATTATATATCTATAGCAATCTATAGATCTCTGTAGATATCTATAGAGATATACTTCTATCTATATAGACAAAGCTATATTAAAATATAATTATATTTTATATTTATATATTATATATTTTATATTTATATAATATATTATACATTATATAATAATAATATAAATATATATTTCTATTTCATATATATGAAATATAATTAAAAATTATATTAAAATAATTATATATTTTATATATTTTATAATATATATTTACATATTACATTTAAGTTGTTTTATCTAATATTTTACATTATGTTTTATATTATATTTTAATATTATATAATTAATTAATTTGGTTAAATTATATTGGGCTGTAAAACCCAGCTCAGGATCTTCCTTTGACTTTCTGCTTCATGTTACATTTCTAAGGTCTGTGTTCCTGTACATGCCTCTAGTTCATTGCTGCATAGTGTGCTTCCATCACACTTTATCCATTCCCTCAGGGATGGATATACCCAGGTTGCCTCCAACTCTTATGACCATAAACAATGCTCCAAGGAACTGTCTCCTTTGAGAACTGCTCTGGGTCACAGGCTCAGGCAGACTCTTCTCCAGGACTAACCTCACAACAATGCACAAAGGAGGAGAGCCCTTTCCCTATTCATGAGCATGACTTCTAATCCATCCTAGGCAGCAGCTCCCTCTTTATGAGAATAGGGTTGTTGGAAAAAAGTGAAACCCACAAGGAAGGATCGAGACAAAAACCACCCCCACTCCTCATACACATTTCCCAAAGGAAGATCCAGAGCTCCATAATAAATTGAAGGGTCTTTTCCAACTTGGGCATTTTAGGATTCCAGAACATTGCAATGTAAATACAAGCAGAATTGGAAACCGCACATAGCAGGGTAAAAAAAGAGCAAGAGCCCCAGTTCCTGGGGGCAACAGGATCATCGCTGTCACATCAGCCCTAATGACCTGTGGCTTTTTTGTCAGACAGAATAGCAAGCACGTGGCTAAGAGAAGACTCTGGAGCCAGACTGCAGACCTCAAGTCCTGGCTCTGTCACTCAGTAGCTATGTGACTTTGCACAAATGACTTTACTTTCTGTGTCTCAATCCTCATGTGTTAAAGTGGTAATATCGGTACCAATGTCATAGGATATCTTATGGATTAAATAAGTTAGTTAACATATGAAAAGTGCTAACAACAGTGCCTGGCATAAAATAAGCATTACATAAATGTTAGCTGGCATAATTATTATTGTTACCAAAGGAACAAATACACTTCTATCTTAGTTAAGCCACTTTTTTTTTTTTTTTGAGATGGAGTCTTGCACTGTCGCCCAGGCTATAGTGCAGTGGCGCGATCTCGACTCACTGGAAGCTCCGCCTCTCAGGTTCACGCCATTCTCCTGCCTCAGCCTCCTGAGTAACTGGGACTACAGGCGCCCGCCACCATGCCCGGCTAATTTTTTGTATTTTTAGTAGAGATGGGGTTTCACCATGTTAGCCGGGATGGTCTTGATCTCCTGACCTCGTGATCTGCCTGCCTCGGCCTCCCAAGTGCTAGGATTACAGGCGTGAGCCACCGCGCCTGGCACTTTTTTTTTTTTTTTTAATTAAGAGACAGGATCTTACATTATTGCCCAGGCTGGTCTTGAACTCTTGGGCTTAAGTGATCCTCCCACCTCAGCCTCCCAAAGTGCTGACATTACAGGTGTGAGCCATCATGCCCAGCCAGCACTGATATTCTGGATCTATATTATTCATAGCCAAACTTAATCCTGATATACCTGCCATCCCAAAACATACTTTAAAAATAAGTCAATTTTAAAAGTTCTCTACTTCTGCGTTTCATCTTAAGGAGGAAAACCTGACTAACAACATGAAGTCATAAGTTGGTAAGGTGCCATGCTCGGTAACTGTACCCACTCCAAACCTTTAGCCATCTAGGGAGCAAAGGGAATAACAGACAAGGCACTGAACCCTATTTTGGGGCCCTGAATTGGGGGCTGTTGTTTGCCCATTAGCCCTTTGTTTTCACAGCCAGTGAGATAGCTCCCTAGCACTTCAGAGAGTGGGAGGGAGGGTTTAGTTCTATTTTTCTGCCTGCTGGGAGGATAAAATTCAAACATTTAGTCAAAAACTGTGAGCTGAGTACACCAGCAAAAAGCAGCGGAGAAAGGGAGGAGCAA